CCCTAAACCCTTAACCCTCAATCCCAGCCGTTCCCACCTCGATGCCATTGCTGGATCCAAGCTTGGCCAGGTTCATACGAATACCGGGGCCACTGCCTTAAGGATTTATTTAAAGCTTTAGGGCTTGAGGTTTAAGGGTTGAAGGTTTTAGGATTGAAGGGTTTAGGGTTTTAGCATTTAGGGTTCAAGGGTTAAAGATTTAGGGCTTAGGGTTTAAGGTGACCAACTTAAGCCTTCGACTGGGTTGCTGTCAGGGAACTTAAACTAAGTTACTATAATGCGGGATATCTGGTAAATAATAGGGTTTCCTTATGATAGTAACTTAATATTGAGAATCCCAGAAACACTCCCATTCATATATAGGGGGTGTCATGTATTAGGTGGGGTGGGGGCGGCTAAATTGAGGGGGAGGGGATTAAAATCATCCAGACACGGCGAAGTAAGCCTCATGCTGTTGCTCTACTTGCGGGATGAGCCTTCTGGCAACCGTTGGTTGCATCTTTGATTCCACTTGGTTTTCCCTGGCAGCCCGCCCAATCTGAATCCTAAACCCTTAACTCTTTTAGGCAAGGTTCGCTGTCCGCCTGAGAAGTTCCCGAAGTATGACCTCGACAGCTTCAAGGGGGTGAGGCTGGGGGAGGGGGCCTCATGGCATATGAACCATAATCTAAACTCCTTAAAGGGGGGTTTATAGGGCATTATGTGGGGGAGTATTATAAGGCGTCTTAAGGGAGATACTAGGAGTTTAGACAATAACTCCCATGGCTTCCGTTAGAGGAATCATTTATACAGAAGGGCAGCCCAGTTGCGCACTGCATGCATGTACATGAAGAAATGCTAGGGCGAGATTGGATTCTTCCAGCGCGGCCAGAGTGCCGACCCCAAACAGGCCTTGTATGGACTGCTCCTACACAAAGACTTGCAAGCAAGAAGCACCAAATCCTGCTCTTCAGCACCGAGACCATGCTGTTGATCCTTCAAAGCCACCCATCTGTTATGTGGCCGGCCAAGAAGCACTTCAAGCCCCCAGCAGTCACCCCGATTGTTGCAGTCCTCCTTCCAAAGCCCCTCGTAGCGGTAGGTAGGCATGCCCTGGGTTTGCCAGAGACACGGAAGAAGCGAGTCTAACCCAGTTGTAGTACATCTCAAGTACAACAAGTTGAAAGGAACTCCTCAGGCAACAGGCATTGGCGTTCGTGAGTGAGGTGCCAGAAAAGCATGAGTAGGAAGCAAGGTCATTGCAACCGAGGCGCTGCAGGTTCCTGGAAATTTCGCAGCCATGCATGTTAAACCCTCGCACCCGTAGAATCACGATATGCAGACCCTGACTCTAACAAGCACAAGAGCAGGCAAGTACCATACCATGCATCTTCGTCAAGCGCTGAGGCGCTAAAAGTGCCCACTGCCCGCAGGAATTTATGCTGGCATGCGCAGCAACTCACTGGATTGTGCAAGACCTAGAGAAAGCCCAGGCAGAATGCAAGCGCATGATATAAGAGGCCTGCGATGCGCTGTCCAACAAGACACCCAGGCCGTGCTTCTGGTTGTTCCGCCATTGACCCACCTCTTGCTGATGAACTTGCAGGAAATGACTACACGCGGACAATTCTTAAAGTTGTGATCTCTTGGACGCGGCTCTAAGTGTGGCACCTGCTAAGTCAACGCTAAACAAAAAGCTAACTTCAGCTTATCCCAACCACAGCCAGCTAATGCCAACTGCTAATCTATTCATGAAGCTCCAAACAAGCAGAAGGTGAGGAACGGAGTGAACTCGTGTGTTGGGCCTCCAAATCCGACCTGACCATCAAGCCATTTTTCCCTAGGAGTCTACTTCAGACTTTTACTACAGCTGAATGTTCCCTTGACATATCCTAAATCCTAAACCCTAGGATCCCTTGGGGCCCTAAACCTCCCACAAACTCAGCATAGACACATACACCCCGCCGTTGCGGTAGAAGAGCACTCCATACCCATGCTTCTTGTCCTGCTAGGCTTTGGATTTGGGATACGTTGGAAGGTGAAAATGAAGTCTGATAGGGATCACCGCGCGGACTGCGCATGAAGTTCTACCGTTGATGGAGGAAAACCTGCACCACTTTAATGCTGCCCTCCATAATAATACCCTGCGCCTCCTTTTTAATATTGTTTAATTTTGGGCAATGATGCTGCCAGAAGCCTACTGGGACAAATGACCATTATCTTGCACCACCTCAACTAGTCTTCTTATCAATGTCAAAAAGGGGGTGCGGGGCTTATGTGCTGGACGTATTTTTTCTTAGCATCAGGGTGGTGCACGATTTCCTCCATCCACCGCATGGTATTTTGGCTGATTACTTTCAAGATTGAAAAGAAAGCTCCAGGCTTCTGTAACATTGGCTAAATCGAGTTTTTTGCTTCACAGGGATTGTGTCTCAGGCAAAAGATACCAGTTTTGACTAGTTTGTAAATGACTTCTACCTACAAGCACGCATATACAGCACTTGAGCTAAATTAAACCCCTTCCAGCTGAGACACAAGCCGCTAAAGTGTTCCGGCACCCTCACTTGGAGGTTTCCAAAATTAGGGATACCTTTTTGGGGGTCCCCGTAATAAGGACTACAGTATTTTGGGGTCTACATGGGGGTCCCCTTATTTGGGGAAACTACCTCCTAAACCCTAAACCCTTAATAGCCCCTATATCCCCCTTTAGTTTAGGGAAACTACCACTTACAGCATCGGTGAGTTCCAGGCATACTGAGAGCAGATGTCCTCATGCCACTGGCCATGGTACCTTGACTCCCAAAGGGTCCAAGTACCCAATAATTAGGTCCCTTTAAAGGGGATATATAGGGGTATATAGGGTTATATAGGAGTATATAGGGGTATTTGGGGTTTAGGGTTTAGGGATTAGGGTCCAAGTACCCAATAATTAGGCACAGGTTTTAGGTAAGTAAAGGATTATTAGGTACTTGGGCCCTTAGGGACTTGGCATCTTGCAAACTAACACTATCATTACTATTCATGACTATTATTACTACTATGATTACCAATATTATTATGGTTACTAATATTACTAGTATTACTATTGTTGCTATTATTGCTATTATTACTATCTTACGATTCATACGATGAATACAATTATTACGATTAGTACTATTACTACTATTATGACTGGTATGACTGTTATGACTATTCTTGCGGTTATTATCATGCATGTAATAGTGGCCATCAAGAAGCAAGTCAAGAGACCTTGCCAACTCAAGATGCCACTCAATTGCATTAGGATTGTAATGAGCACCAGTGCAGACACGAATTATCTAAGACAAGTTGCTGCTTGTAGATGTCGTGCGTGCCGCTGGAGTACACCTCGCCAAATTGAAAATGCAGCCGAGCAAGTCAATCAACTGTTGTCTGATCGCAAGGGTCATCATCCAGGCTTCTAGCATCTTGGGGCACCTACAGTCCCAAAACAAAGATGGACGCTAAGGAGGACCCCTGTCGACCACTGTTCTCTTGAAAGAGCCCTTTTGGGCTCCCCATTCAATTCGGCAGCATGGACCACGATCCATGCCACAGCTTTGGAATCTTGATTTCGCGGGAGCTTGCATTCCAAGCTGCGTAGGTGCCAAGACCATGTCGCCGTTCTCCATCTGGGAATTGCTTGCAGTTTCCGGTGTACACCTGGCCGCTATATAAGGTGGAGCAGCCGAGAACCAGCGGGTTTCCAGCAAAACGTCCATGTTGGCTCGGCTGGTACCCTCAAAAAGAACTGGAAAGTTGGATAAAAGGAAGCGTCCCAGTTTAAGAGATCCACCAGTTCTGACCTGCTCATGGCTGACTAATCGTTAGCACGCTGCTTGACAAGTGCCTGCCTTATCATCCTGTCCGTCAGGCATGTACTTTAAGGAGAAGTATGCTCACAGCAGCAAAGGCAAATAGCCAAGCCACATCTCCGTTGACAAACTGCACGGACCTGGATAGCATGTGCGGGACGAGGTGGCAGTACCATCCACTATGCAGCATGCGCAGCACTTGCCCTGTGCACAATGCAGAACTTGGTGTTGAAGCACAACCGCGGGCCAGTAGAAAACTCCAGTTCGCTCAAATGTGGTTCCGTGTTGACACATGCGGCATGCCTGAATGGGCATGCTGGACTCCAATGAATAGTATTAGCATGCAGCTACAGAGAGTAGCTGAAGGATCCTCTGGACTTCATGATCATAGAACTCTCCCCATCTTCTCACCGCATGATCTCTGCTCATCCAGTCCTTCTTGAAATCCTTCGGCTCCCCTTTGTACATAAGGTCCCGGGGTCCAGGCATCTTCCGGGCCGTTGCCTTTGGAGTCCTCTCCTGCGACTGCGGCCGCTCCGGGCGCTCCCTGTTGGTCCTAAGTGCACGGCTTCTCCAAAATGTTTGTGGGACTGCCTGCAGAGGGGCCGGTGTTATTCGGGGAGTGGAGGCTTGCGCCAGCCCCACCTCAATCTGCTTTGCAGGGCCTCTTGCAATCAATACGCTTTTTTTTAGCTAGATTTCGGAGATGAGTTTGAGAACCCATTTCTGAAAAAAATCGTACCTGTGCTTGCTCGTTACCTTGGAGTATTATCCAAGGTCATGACAGGGATGCTGCTGGAGGATGCCAACAGTTGAATCTATGGCGCTGCAACTGGTGAGTAACGTGGCAAGAGATGCGAATCTAGAGAGACCTGGGACACGCAACTCCTCTGCAAAGCCTGCAACAAGCCCAGCGACCTTCCAGACATGTCAGCACGCACAAACCTTTTTCGGCTGCCTGCGCTGACAGCCCTTGTGGCTTGTTGCGAGTCCAGCTAGAGAGCTTTTTCGACCAAAGCTGAACATGTCTTTAATGGAGGATTTCTGCTGGCATGTCGCTGCATCACGTCAGTGCCAAGAATTCAAGGTTCCAGCTGAGTCTAACCGGTTGAATGCTGAGTATGGAAATAGTTGATGTATGGCAAACGTCAACAAACTAAACTTCAGCAGGGTGAATGTGAACATCGCTCACATGAACTCATCCTCATCCTCTCCAGTTCCATCTTTCTTCTGCCCACGGAGGCTGCGGAGCTCTCGCAAGCGTCCCGCCAGCAATCCTGAGCTCCGGCCCATGTCGGGCTGCCTTTTATCCCCCTACTTTACACGGCTAAACACCTCCATGTCATTTGTCCATCATTCAGATCATTGGGGTTACTATCCCTAAGCCCCATAAGGTTCCTACATGACCCCTATATACCTCTACGTACTGCTATGAAGTCCGTAGCAAATGGCCTGCAGCCAAAGGCTCTGGTCTGGTGCTCCGGCCTGCCATTCAGTCTCCTGAAGCGCACGTCCTTCGCTGCCAGTCTGCGCATCAGCCGGTCGAAGTCATCGCCACCAGTCGGCTCCACATCTTCACCTCAGTTTGAAAAAAGGTTCAACTATGAGGGGTTCCATGCTCGTCTTGAAAATGCGAATCAACCTTGTGGGTCATTCTGCGGCTACTCATGCTAAGAGAGGGTACTTGGAGCCAGCGACGTCCTTTATTCTAATCCTTTCTGGAAGGTCCCACGCACTTCTCAAGATTCCACTGGAATTAAAGAGAACTTGGTCCACTATGCGAACCATAGGCCCCACCAAGTCCCGAACCCGAAGCCCTGAATCTTAAACTAGGCACCCCTCAACACATGGGATCCTATGATCCTATGTAAGGAGGCCATCCGGGACATTTGGGAGCCTCAGGGAGGTGTCAGGGAGTCCCTTACATGGGGCCCTGGTAAGGATTCCTTCAAAAGCAAGTAAAACCCAGGTCACAACCCCGCAGGTGCTGGCAGGTGCGTAACCACTTCTGGCAGTCCTGACAAGGTAATGTAGACTCTTGACTAATAAGCCCCCTCCTTTTGAAGGCCTTAATGTTAGAATCTCTATTATAATAACTATGAATGGAAGGGGGTTTAGTAGTTATGGGCCTAATTAGGGTGAGGAACTCAAGATGAGGCTTGGAAGTCCCGGGATGAGCAAGGTAACAGCAGACCTGCACAGAGCCTCCGTTAGGCAACTGCTCACGCGAGGCTAAGAAGCCAGGAGTCTGGGTCTGGGGTTAGGGTTTAGGGGTCAAAGCTTTTTGGGGCTTTGGTTTGGGGTTTTGGCCTCAGGCTTCGAGTTTTCTGCCGGGAAGTGAAACGAGATAGTGAATAGTGGCGCGAATGATGATTCAGTCCGCTATCTCTTATTACTTCTGTCTCACGAACTCCGTGGCCATCCATGTCGTCTTATAAGCTGATTCGGGCAGTCCTGTTTAATCAATGACTGAGCCCCTAAGCCCTCAACCACAATCCTCGACGGCTAGATCGTAGGCTTGCTCTCGCCACTGAGTCCAGGCTTCCTTGAGCACTTCCTGGCAGCACGCAATGACTCACAGCAAGCTTGTGCAAGCAGACTTCTGGCCTGTTCTTGCAGCGAAAGACAGTGGAAGTGTGACTATTACGAGAGCCATCATCAGAATCAGAGAGATACTTCAACAACAGCATACAACGCATGGAAGTTTCACGCGCCCATCATATACTCTGGGCACACCAGGAATTCTGAAACCAAACAGATTGCGATTACTGAGGCCCTCATGGGTACACTGATCCAAACAGGACTGCTGATTTGTAAGCCTGACGTTGAAGCCGCGCTCCGAACATCAGAGTCCTCAGTGCCCTTTTGCATCTGGCTTGCAACGACTCTGCCAGGCAAACAACTAACCCCGTCACCTCATTTAATGAGGAGGCGTCTCATGCGCAAGGGCCAGCTGTCTGGAATGATGTGAAGTGAGAGAACGATCTGTCGAGATTCAAATAGTCCGTCATGAACACTCTGCAAGCACATTGCATGAATGTCATAGTGATCTTGCGTAACCCCAAGTTGAAAACTCGTATCGTTCCAATTTTATCGGAGGATTCCCTTCGTGCCCTAAACCCCAAACCCCAAACCATAAACCCAAAATCCCTGGAATCCGGGTCCTCAGGCATACCTTCGAAGGCTTTCTGTGTCGCCACGTCTGTGTCCGTGCTGAATGCTCTCTGTACAACCTCCTGTCAGGCTGGGGGGCCTGGAGCACACTGGGACAATGTTACGGTTATATTGGGGTTACATTGGGATAATGGAAAATAAAATGGAAACTACTACATCAAATACGGTATATATGGGGTTTATACAGGGATAATGGAAAGTAAAATGGAAACTACTATTTAGGGTTTAGGGTACAGTCCCGCTCAAAGTTCAGGGGCTTAGGGGCGTCGAAGGCATAGGCTTCCAGAGCTCGAGCTTTCGGGATGTTTCTGGCATTGTCGGCAGTCAAGCTGAGACACATCACCGCAGAAGCCTTGCTCTGCACAACCCTTTTTTTTTTCAGGGTGTTCACAGGGATAATGGAAAAGAAAATGGAAACCCTAGGTCCCTTAAAGGGATATATAGGGGTACATAAGGGTTATATAGGGATAATGGAAAATGAAATGGAAACTACCATTATTTAGGGTTTAGGGTTTAGGGTACCGGCATGATAAGGCAGACTGTGGATTTGCCTGCTTTCTCTGAGTCATGTGCACTTCCTGTGTCGAAAACATGGTCTGTTGTTGGTAGCACTTGGCTACAAACAATGCTTCACCTTATACTGGGGCGAAACTAAAGAAACGCACGCTGGCATGCTGAGTCCAGGCAGTCTAGGTCACGCCCAAAAATTGTGTGCCACACATGTCCCAAAGCATCGTCCCTACCATACCCCTAAAAACCTTTGCTAGAGGCATGCTAGACACACCCACATAACTCTTGCAACCCCCCCCCCCCAATCCTAAGTTCTAAAGGCTCCTCAAACTCCAGCTCTGGTCCAATGACGTCAAAGCCAGCAGACTCCAGAATGCGCAGCCACGCCTAGCTGAAAACGATTTCCCTGACATCACCCCATACTACTTTGGATTCCGCTTCAACAACTTCTTAAGGCGAACCAAGGATGAATAGGAGTTTAGGGTGCGGGGCTTCGGGTGTAAGAGTTTAGAGTGTGGGTCAGGTCTTTCGGTTTAAATGCCCATAGGGTTCATCTCAAAAATCAGCCGAAGGCCAATTACACATACGTTCCTTCCCTACATAGACCCTAACGCGCCCCTATACTCCGCAAACATTGGGGCCAATGTACGAGCACAGAGCTTTCATCTTAAAAATGAAGACTTCAAATTGATCAAACCTATGCGGACTACAAGGGAATTGGCCAAAATTAGACAGTAATATATGAACATATATATATATACATATGTACAAGAAAACTGTCGTAGAGAAGCACCCATACATAACGACCCTACCATAATACTCGAAGGGAAATCGGCATATGGGAGTGCATAGAGAGCCGTCAAAACTCCCTAAACCCTAAACCCCAGACCCTAAACGTAGGGAGCCCTAACCCTAAACACCGGACCCTATAGCCCTTAAACCCTAAACCCTATTCCCCCCACCCTAGACCCTGACACCCTAAACCCGCCTCTCTCCGGGCTTCGATAGCCCTCCTCTGGTAATCCAGCCACAGCTGCTCGAGCTCATCGTCCTTCAGCCCGAAGCCCTTCCTAGCTTGCATGGTGGTTTCCGAATTTTTTTGGGGGTGGGGAGAGGGGCGGCTATTACGATTGCCTATTAGGATTACATATTGGGATTACGTAGGGTTGGGTCGTGGGGAGTGGAGGAATGCAAAAGATGATGGAAGCTGCTATTTTGGGTTCAGGGGTTAGAAATGAAAGCGGAAACCAACGTAGTACTGCCTCATCCTTGAGATTAAGGAGTCTGGTCAAGACTTTGCTGATTGCCCCGGTTAGTGATGATCATCTTAACTGCGATGCTCAACTGGCCCTAGTCTGGCAACCACATGGGCCTTTTTAGAGCTGAACGACGGGACTTCCAATCCCCTGCTGCTACTGCTACAGTACCCCACTTCAAGGGAGTTGTTCACCAAGTGACCCTCCACAAAAAAACGCAACACGAAAGCACAGGCAACTTCAAAAGCAATCCAATCACGGCCCAGCTTCTGTAACTGAAGGGCTTCCACCTCCGGCTTTGCCTCTGTCAAAGCAAAATCTTGGATCCAATGCTTACAAGTTATGGCGGTTAGGGCTACCTCCGCTTCATGAGAGCCCCCAATTCCTCGCGCTGTTACAGAAAGCACTCTGTAGGGATGCGCTTTCATTCAGGTTTCTTGCGGGCTGCCGATAATGCCACTGAAGCTGGCAACAGTTGGAATAATCTGTTTGAGATAAGCCCACTAGATGCTTTGCCAGGTGTGGTGCCCTTCTCTTGCCCCAAGCTCTACACCCTAAATCCCTGAATCCGCTTGATGGGAACGGTAATCCTTATTCTAGGACCCTTCATTGGGGACAATAGTATCCCCCATATTTTTTCAAGGAAACAGGGGCCTCCTCCCAGGTAAGGCTGTAGGGGTTCTTCATCTTCTCGGAGAAGACGCTGAAGATCTTCTCCTCGGCCTCCGAGAGCTTCCGCTTCTTCCTGGCCTCTTCCAGCTCCTTCAAAGGGCTTTTCTTATCGGACCTTGTCTAAGAAGTCCGGTATCTGCAAGGCCCCAGCACAGATTCCCTTAGCAAGCCAACAAGCCAATGCGACAACGTGAACTTTCTGGATCCTCTCACTGCTTGCCCTGATCCCTCAACAGCACTCATTCCCGGGGTTTGGGTTTGGGGTTCAAGGTTTAGGCCCTGCGGTTTAGGGTTTGGAGTTCAGGGTTTAGGTGTTTAAAGGTAGAGGGTTCAGGATACATAAAATGTTCAGGGTTTAGGGTTTATCGGTTTAGGTTTGAACTTGTGCTTACCAATACGAAACAACAAAATCTGGAAAGTAGTGGAGACCCCTTATCCCTCGTTATTCCTGATAATGAACGCCCAAGTCAGTTGAGAACCCCCCTGCGATTCATTGTTGAGGGTGTCCTAATTGGCCCCTTTCGATACTTGTTTTGACCTTTTTCAAAACAATCTTCCAGGATTCTGGGTTCTCAGGAAGGTGGGCTTATTGCTGTGGATTTAGGCAATGACAAGACCCTTAGGGGGGCAATAGGGAATCCGGACCTTCGCATGTTGAATCTATTAAATTTACCCAAAGCCCATGACAGCTTAGCAGGCCTCCTAAGAGTTCACGCTTTGTCCTTTCCTGAAAAAGGATTACGTTACTCAGGTTGGAGTTCGATACTGCGACTCAAGTTTTGAGATGCGTCAAGAAATGAGTAAATTGCAAGTCCTATTAATAGCCATAACCATCAGTATGGAACTATAAACCTTATAGTAAGGGTTAACTAACAAAAGAAAATCGAAAAGTTCTTGCTTTAATTTCACTGTGGCTTTGTCAGAAACTTGGCGGGGCAATATTGCCGCCAAAAGGTGTGCTTGAAGGTTTGAAGCTACAGGACTAGAAAAAAATCTAGCTTGAACCTATATGCCAGAAATCACTCTACCGATGATTCGTCTTCATGCGTGCGCTTACTTAGGTCATGTGCAGACAGGCTGCAAGACATCACGATCAAATGGGGGGAAGTCTCAAAACAACCCTGATACAAGCCAGAATCCCTGTATCCCTGGAGTCCTTTGAGAAACCCCAATGGGAACTCTGTCGGATATTCCATTCAGTCCTGCTGCACCTCTCGGCGCTTGGCGGTCTGCTTCCTCTTGGCATCCTTCAGCTCCCGGGCGAGGCGGTTGTAGAGATTTTCACGCTCCGTGGAAGCCAACTGCGTCCAAGAAGGATCTGTTTCGAGCCGCCGCCGAGCCTTGGAGAAGGGAGGAGGGTCCTCCTCCTGGCCCTTCAGGATATCCAGAACCAACGTGCGGAAATTGGCACGTGCCCCCTCCTTCTGCTTTTCGGCTCGCTTGGTGGTCTCTGCAACAGCCTCCGCCACCATTCGCTCTCGATCGCGCTCAGGCACAGCATCCCACTGTGCCTCATCGCCGAAACGTCGCTCCATGCTGGCCAGGGCTTTCTCCACTGTCCGTCCTGCCAAGAGGTCCAGCTTCTCTGCTTTGTCCAGCAGCTCCTTAAAGGCTTCGCGGCCTCGGTTCTTGCAGACAGCCTGGGTCTTCCGCTTCTCCGTCTCAATGCGCTTGGCAAGCATCTCAAAAAGAAGCCTTCTCTCCTTCAGACCCGTTACGGCTGTAAAGCGTGGATCGTGCATCAGCTTGGGGACCCACTTCTCGTACTTGTCAAAGGCTCTAACACCTTTCTCCACGAGTAACTGCTTGAAGTTCCGCAGCTTGTCCTTCTCCTTGGCTGCCTTCTGTTCCTCCTCCACCTGCTGTGCACGCTTTTCTGCCTTCTCAGCCTTCGTCTGCTTCTTGGCTCCATCTTCTTCACCACCTGCTGGCTCACCTTGTGCATCACCTGTCCCTTCGGCTCCTTCCTTGCCCTCCTCATCGCCCTTCTCCTCTTTGGATTCCGCTTCACCCTCCACGGCACCCAGGCTTCCATCCAGCTCTGCAACCTCCTTGGCAATCTCAGGCGGGCACGTCCACGACGTCTTCTTCTGCTTCTTGTGGTAGAAGTATGTGTAGCCTTTGTCTGTCTGCACACGGGTCCACCCTGTTTTGCCGATGCTCTCCCAAGACTCGGGCTCACCAAGCTTGCCTTTCACCGAGGTATCTTTGGGCTCCTCCTTCTTGGGGTCCACAATTACATCTCCCGGACCACAGGGCCGGACCCATCTAGACTCGCCCGTCTTTTTGCAGAAATAGTAAGGCAGGCCTTCTCCAGTTTGGTGTGCTTGCCACTCCACCTTTTCCACAGGGCCACTGGGTGGAGCGCCCGCGCGCTCGACGGCAGCGTCGACAGCCGCAAGCAGACCCGCAGGTGGTGGTAGCTCCGGGGGTCGCAGGATAGCAGGTGGCGGTCCCACAGGTGGAGCCAAACCCATAAACGCGGGCAGGTCGGGCAGAGATGTGGACATCATTGGAGGTGCAAGAGACGGAGGGCCAACTGGCGGCATCTTCATTCCAATGACTCCACCGGGCACTACTTCGAACTGTGGCGGCGGCATTTTGGCAGGAATCCCATCAAGAAACTGTCCAGGAGCTGCCTTCACTGACACATCAGGGCCAGGGCCTGAGATGAAACCGCCAGGTGAAAAGGCTGGCGGTGGCATGCTGGGTGGGGGTGCTTTGACCGGTAGTGCACCCAAAGGGGGAGCGCCAAGAGGAGCTACTCCCAATGGGGCGCCTGGGACAGGCACAACCCTTGGGATGTGACCCACAGGGTCACTAAGTCCAACGAGGCTGGCAGCCTTCGACATGCCATGGGGCGCTCCCCCAACAGCTTTGACGCTGGCTGCAGCAGTTGCTATCGAAGCAGCCTTCGATGTCCCTGGATCAGGAGGCTCCATGGCTACCTGGCTACCAAGATGAAGATGCCAGTCGGTTCAATAGAACTGTCTGCTAGAATGGTTTCTGCACCTTGCGAAGATACGACAACAGGCAGGGTTGATGGTAGTTACTCGGTACCAGTCAAGATGAAGTTGTTCACATATGTAACAGCGTATTACAGCATTACATTATATGCTTCGGGATCTTGCAAAAGTTGTTTTTGAGCCACAAGGCCGCGGAGATCCGGCATTTTAAGGCCTTGCTCAAAGTTGCCAATCGTGGAGGCCTCCTCCTCCTGTTCATCAACTCTTGCCAACTTGCCTTCAATAACTGGGGCTGCGCACTGTCCGGGAGCTTCTTTCTCCTTCTCAGGCTCCTGCACAACAAAGATGCCAGCTCAACAAGGCAAGTGCCACGGCCAGCACCAAACTGGAAGGGGATCATGCATCTGCGCTGCGCATGTCTACGTGTATGTCCATGAGTGTATCTCAAGACATGTTTACCTACATAGCTACATGCATACCTGCATACATGCATACGTGCATACATGCATACGTGCATGCATGCTTGTGTGTGTGTAAGTGTGCCTGTACTTATACATGGAAACATGTTAAAGTAGACATGTATGATCAGGCATCTGGCGTTCATGCGCCCACCCTCATGGTATGGTCTGGGAGGAGGGGGGGCATGATCGCGCGGAATCTCCGTAACTGTCATCGTTTTGAGCCCTTCGCAATCTCAAAACTGCCAATAGTCACAGGGATTGGGTGTCTGGAAGGCGCCATCTTCGTGACTGTCTTCACTTTGGAGGTTTGAAAATGTGTAAAAGATTCCAGACATGCCGACAGTTACAAGGATGGGCCAGTTTGGGGCACGATCCTTAGGGCTGTGGTAGATTTTGGTATTTTAACGCTTCTAATATCCCACCATAAATAGCTTGTGTGTCCTTCTAAGACCCTCCAAAAGCCGTAGAAACACTGCAGAGGAATGATAACCCATCTCTATATCTACACATCTATAGATAATCCTGTTGATAATCCTGTTTAATCCATCTATATTTTACCGGCACTTACTCCTCAGCCTCACGAGCGTCGAAGTGGCGAAGTAGTCTGATGAAAAATCCATTCACATAAACCCAGCCGCATTCACAGAGGGGGAGGGTCACCCCAACCACACCCACATGAAAAAGGGAGGGTCCACCCCAACCCCCAACCACAGACACCCAGGGGAGAGGAGAGGAGGCCTAGACCATGGGCGGGGGGGAGGGCCAGGTGCGTGACCATGTGTAATGTATACTGTAAGCATGTGTGTGTCATGTGTACAGTATACATGCATACATCTGGGGTATGGCATGGTATGGATCAAGGCTTTGGAAGTCCAGGCTTCAACACGAACAGCGCAGATCACCACAGCTTACTACCACCACAGTGTCAGCTCCTGCGGGGTGGGCTGCTCTTCTGAGTTGAAAGAGGCTCCACGAGCCCGACCATCACTGGAACACCTACAGCCGAAGCTTAGCAGAGGTGGTGTTCGCCTCCACACATTGAGGAGACTTCAGAAATTGATGATTCTTGCTCGTGAAACGAAGATACCCAGCAGGATGACAGGGCAACTCTCTGTCAACTGGTGCCCAAGTGCAGCCATGAAACTCCTCTTGGATCCTCAGCTTCCACGTCACAAAAACAAGGTGCAGATTTTGCTGCAGCGAGCTGAGAAATCTGGTGCCACCAATCAATGTCACGCAGACACCACTTTGTACCACGGATTGCCCACCCAAAGCGGCATGGGTGTTCTGTTGAAAAAAGGGGGCCCGGTCGTGTCTTCACAGGAGAAGAGCTTTCAACTATTAAATCCACATGGTCAAGCTAGGGCCCATAATCATAGCCAAGAAGCTCCCCCAAGGAGGGAACTCGGCTCAAACTGGGAGAGGGTGAATACATGTCCCCAACTTCGCTGAGGGCCGTGAGGTTCGTGTTGCAGCGCTCCAGGCCCGACCTGTGACCCGCGAGTTTGACACACTTTGGCGGGCTGGATCGTACAAGCTCTTGGGCGAAGGCCTATATAGTGTGTAAATTAGATTAGCCCTTGAAGGCAGCCGGGTACAAAGCTCAGCTAGTGACGCATTGTTCCGCCACATCTGCATCAGAGCCTGTTCCCATAAGCGCAGCTTGCAAGAGTCTCTGGGTTGGAGGGATTGGGTGGTGCAAAACAAGCGCACAGCTCCAACGTTCACTACACAAGTACCAGATTCATTTTGTACCGCAGCATCACCAAAAATCGTCAATATTGTTGTCGCCCATCATTTCCGGAAGGGGATGAACCTCCAGCCACTCCTGGACAAAGAAACATTTTTACCAAAGGGAGGATATGATCTTCCCACGTACTGGCGGCCTCTCGCATCCCCACAAAAACATCGCTGTTACAATGAACAACTAGCCATTACCATTACCACCCACAGGGCACTGGGCCAGGCCCTGCTGCCATAACAATTCACATGAACACAGATCCATGTCGATAAAGGTTTTAGGGTTCAGACACGCGCATGGCAAAGCAGCGCAGGCACGGCAATGACTGTCTGTCCAGGGCAGTCCAGCACATTGACTGGGCTCTAGGGTTTTGGTTTTAAGGTTTTGGGCAATCGTTGCCACAAATGGTGCTCATCAATATGATGCTACTTCATTCAATAATCAAAAAACATTCACTGAATCTGGTGGAGGTTTAACTGCAAGAGCAGCATACATGGGCTTTTTCAACAGTCCTTTGTTGAAGAAGGACTCTCTGACGTACCTCCAGCCTGCGGCAATCAACAATCCTAAACCCAAAATCCTAAACCCTAGGCCCCAAACTTCCTTCGGCACTTTCGCAGTGATCCGAAGTGTTTCCCAGGAGCGGAAAGGATCCGGCATCTGAAGTTCAAACAGCTGCATTGCCAGACTTCCTTGCATAGTAATAGCAATGATAATACTAGTAATAATCGAAATAGTAATAAAGAATAGTACTCGTAATAATAATAATAATACTCACAGTCATAGTCATAGTGATAGTAATGAGAAAACTACAAGAAAAAACAAGCAGAGTCCATTTTCAATATCGCTTGCCATCTGCTACCTACTTGAAGGTTGTGGTGGGTAAAGAAAATGCAAAGGAATCTGCTACAATGTTGTCCTGGGGCTTTAGCTAGCGCCTGGGCAGGGCGATATCACGAGGACCTCCTAGAAGCTCAGGGGTTCACTCTACTGGGTTGCTGTTAAGGAACTTAATTTAAGTTACTATATTGGGGGAACCTTATTAATTACTATATGTATAAACATTATGGTAACTTAATTTAAGTTCCTTAAAAGCAACCCAGTCTAGCCTGCAGCCCTGGATCTTTGGATCAACAGGCTTAGACGACTTCCAACCTGGAGCAGCCAGCTCATGCAAGATGAAGTAGCACATCAGCTAAATCATTATGAAAATGAAGTTGTAAAAGTAGGAAACTACCGCATGATGCCGCCATATCGCCGCGCATGAGCCCAAGAGCTTACATCGCTACCGGATGCGAGAATCAAGAACACCCATGCGTGTTCAGTAGAAACTCAACAGCCTGGCAAAACCCCGAAGCCCCACAACACTTGACCCTCGAACCTACCAAGGCCCCAAACAATCCCCATCCACTGCGTGACGGCCACCTGCCTGAAGCCATGCAGTCATCCTCAAGTACAGAACTGTAAAGCCCATGACTTCTCCTTGTCCACGAGTTTCTGTCCAATTGAAGAGAATTCTTATAACCCCCTAAACCACTGTGAACCTATGTTTGATTTCGGAGGTCCCCATACCACACTATTATCATAGTACATTATACTACACTACGTAAAGTTATAATATACGATAGCAGATTTCAATATACTATAGCCTTGCATATGGAGCCAGGTCTCCAGCACCTGCGCAGGAGCTGTGCTCGTCAGCCATTGACTCGGGGGTGGCCGCTTTGCCGCGCGCATGGAAGAGGGGATCGAACCTCTCACAAAAGAGGTTCAGGTTTGGGGGTTCATAGGGTTCGAAGGGGTTATAGAGGGGTCTAGTGGAGAACGAAATGGAAAACAAAATGGGACATGAACGGGTACTACTACTCTATGAGCACCTCTCAGAAGAACCCCGTAGTAAGTAGGACATGCAGGGACAAGGCCGGGTACTCAAGTTCTACTATGGGCCCTTGTGTTCTCTACAATATCTACACTGGAGCCTTGGCTGAAAACTGAGCACAACTGGAGTCAAGGAGATGATTGGAGTTTAGGAATATGATCCCCGAGCTACTATAGTAGTTTCCATGTTTATTTTCCTTTCTTCCCTATATACAACCCCAACAAATACCCTAACTCCAGTCATTCATTTGGAGCTTGGGGGCGAACGTTTTCATTGGCATTTTCAACGGACTGTTCTTGTAAACGACGATGGGGTTGGAACAAGAGGCCTTTCGGTAGCCACACTGCCTTCCAATTTCCCACTGGTTTCGTGTTAGTGGGGAACAAGGGAATAGGTCATATAGGGATTATGTAAGGATTACATTCCAGTATTCCCTACTAAGCACCAGCAGGGCGTTTGTAGCAGGATTCTGTAAGCAAGCCGCAGACCTGCTGCAAAGCTGGACAACCCCTAACCTAGACCCATGACTAATAAACTCCCTCCTGTTAAGGGCCTTAATATTAGGATCCTGTTGAAGGGCTGTAATATTAGGATTGGGTTTAGGGTTTAGGGTTCAGGGTTTAGGCTACTAGTTAGAGGAGGGTGGTCTACATGAGCCTGTTTTTTAATTCCTACTTGTTGCATTCCAGGACTCTTGACCAAGACCCCTGAATTTTCTTGCAACCCAACAGAAAAACATGTAGACTTGGTACATTTCAGAAATACGGGGGACTGAAACCCTCATTGGATAGTTTCCACGAATACAGATCTCAAAAGACTATTATCATTACTATGAAGACCCCCAAGAAGATACCTCTGCTTCCGGGGAAACCCTCATTTTCAGGCTGAGGCACATCACCGGGGCACCCGCTTGGGCGAAACTGCGCCGAATCTGGTAGCCAGCCTTTGTGGACGGAGCGCCCGCCACAAGGTAGAGTGCCTTGGCTTGGATTAGGGGTTTACAGGGTCATATGGGGTCATATATACGGTTACATTGGGAGAATGCAAAAAAATAATAAAAACCACGATGCCATATTGTAAGAGGTGTGTTGGGCCCTAAACTCCTAAACTGTAGCATATTAAAGTACATCGTGATGTCCCTAAGGGGTGTACTTGACCTGAACGGCGAATGGCATAACATGTGACACCTGTACCTTGACACTTGACATGACCACGGGAAACTGACCGTTGGTCTCTGCATCTGGATTAGCAGAGTTTCCCAGATGCGGTAGAAGGATTTCCTCGCCCTTGCTGCTGGGTTCTTCTTGATGTGCAGAAAACACTACTGTGACGGTGCAGGCTGCGCAAGGCACTCCTGTACAACGGGCGTTCGCACATGACAGACTATGCCATGTTGAACACTTGGACTTCCACTCGTAAAGTTACAAGCTCTAACCTTATCTAGACATGGGAGCTACTTGTGCTGCACCCTAGCCCATGCGTTAAATACTACAGTACAGCAGGGTAGCCACTAAAAGCTACCATTGACGCATTTGAGCTTCAGCCTCCAAATGCAATCTGTGCATGCTAAAAACCGCACGATCACCAGCGGACTGGCTCTTTTTTATCTCTGCAGATTCAAACACTGCGACATTCTGGACGCAAGTGCGCCGCCGAGCGTTGAAGGGAGGCTGAAGAAGTGGAGAGCCAGGCCTGGCATAGGCTACAGTAGCATAGCCAGCATAGCTGCCCAGCTTTTGTAAAATTTATGAAGGCTGGGCATGCTGAATTTGTTTCAGCCTCCCCCTTTAGTAATGGTTGCCTGGAGGCTTCCCGCAGGAAGAGCTGCGCTGCTTTGACGCACTCTGCAGCCAAGCACTGACTCCAGGCTCGTGCACAGCTCGTGGGCAGCTGCGGGATGCTTTCTCCAAATTTTGCGTCCATTAAAGTCAACGGATGCTGCACCGAATACCCTGCTGAGGGGTATGTTTACTGCCAACTCACGGCTTTGTTGCGGTGCTCAGCAGGTAGCGTATCTCATTTACAGGAAGATGATTTTGAGACTTTTTCTGCTGCTGCTGCTGCTGCTGCTGCTGCTGCTCTTTGAAAACACACTTCGCCTTCTTCAGGCATGCAATTGTGTCCTGAGAGGTCCGAAGTCGGTCTTTAATCCCATGTTTGCGTGAACCTCGTGGTTTGGGGCCCGGGCCAAGTTTTCAACCAAGTCGAACAGTGAGGTGTTCCTGAAAGGAATCACCAAAAGCCGAAAATGACTCTGCGCTCTCCCTCACCAGCGAGCCGATGGCCTGCCATCCACTTTGACCTCAGATCGGCTCGCCCTCCCTGATGGGGTGTAAGTTTTGAGAATCCATCTGACCAAGATTTAGCCTCGCGGCAACCGGATTCAGACGCCATCGATTGACAGTAGCTTCGCTCACACCTGAAACATGACTTAACTGACAAAACCTTTTAAGGTGGCCTTGACAAACCTGAGATTTCCGCCTTGGCTGGATAGCAAGGACCCAAAGGGATCGCTCCCATAATCAGCATCGAGCCAGTTCATCTTCTCCACCAACGCCTGTGCCAATGCTCATCCAGTGGCTCCACATGATGTCGCATAACTTTTAAATTCTTCCTGCCTCGAAGGGGCTCGCGGATCCATGAACCGCATTTTCCCCCACATGAGGCTGGCCTGGCAAGCCGAGCCTGAGCTGAGGGGTCGCCCAACTTCATGGGGAGGCAACACCATGCTGCACTGGATCACTTCACCCTGCCAAGGCAGCAGCGCGTCCCAATGCTTGTAGAAGTAGCCCCGCAGGGACACTGGCTTTGCCGTCCCTGGATCCGTGTTCCCCACCACCTCTTCACGAAACCTCACAAGAGCCGAACAAAGGCAGAGGAGGAAGGAGAAGTTGTCAACCATTGATTTGGTCGTTTCCAAAAACCATGAGCCTTGCTCTCACTCCCTGCGGGCTGCCCTCATGCATAAGCTAACGGTCTCCTCATGCGAGCTACCCTCAATATGTCCTACATGAGCCATAATCTAAACTCCTTAAAGGGGGATATATAGGGGATTATATAGGGGACTACTATAGGGGATATTAGGGGGGATACTAGGAGTTTAGACAATGGTTCACATAATTTAACGGACATGGGTTCCTTATTGGGACTGTACTCAACCACAAGGGAGACCCCTCTGTCCACCTTTCAGTGTCCCTTAGCTAAGATTGACAGTGGCCCATGTAAGAGTTCTAAACCATAATTACACATTATAAGTTTAAGCGATGGCTGCTGGTGGAGGCAGTATCTACAATTTATGCAAGTAGGTGAAGCCCCGACAAACCACAGGTATCACACCCTCGAATTCACCCACACGTCATGATTGTCCCAGTAGATCCCCAGGCGGTACTTTGAGGCCGCAGTGTCTCGGGCCTCTGAAAAGCAAGCCACGCCTTGTGAGCACTCTCTTTTTGTGGTATGTACCGAGCTATTTGTAGAAACCGCAATCTGGAAGAAGGCTCTCGGGACATGCAATCAGGATGTGCTCAATGCAAGCCTGAACGCCAGAGAGTCCAGAAAAGATCCCTGCGCTGTTCCTACGGCCACCTTGTTTAGCAATCTACTTCCGGACTTCCCAAAACACCACCATGGTATTCCCCAGGAACTCCTTGGCGCCCCGGCCTTTTCCAAGAGAGTTTTCCGCCGTTTTCCCCGTTGGTCGGCCACTTCACATTGAACCAGAACACCGAACTGGCACCAAATGCCAAGGCTCCAGACAGAAAACTGCTGGGGCTGAATCAGCCAAGCTCACCTGCCCGGCACGACGTACTGCTGGCGCATGGCCATGTAGAAGCCGTTGATGACCTTAGCAGCTGTTTCCAGCTTCTCTGGCCTCATCTCCTTTTTTGTCCAGTCCAGTCGCACAAAGGGACGGAGGCATCGTTTGAATTTGGGTTCCGATGTCGAATCAACCACACGAACTGGTTTCCCACCAGCCTTCCTGAGTGCTGGGCGAACAGACCATGAAGCTGTCCACAATAGAAACCGCCACCGAACTTCACTTTGCCAATGCCTCTGCGCCGGCTTTAGGCGAAGGCCAGGCACAGACACTACAACTCACGGTGTGCAGCGTGGCAAAACAGCTATGCAAAGACATGCCTGCAGTCAGCTTAGGCAAAGACCCATCTCCAGTGTGTCCCAGTGAGTTCCCAACTGCTGGGACGTCCAACCCAACCTCTGCAGAGGAACAGGGGCTTGCAGCTCTTGGACATGTCCTCATTCTTGCCTCTCTTCCGCTTCACTTGCATTGCAAACCAAGTCCTGCATAGTTTGCTTGTCCAGAATCTCAATGCGCACCCACACAAAGACTTTCCTGCCTGCTTCAACGCCTCGGGCCAGGAGATACCGAAGCATTCCTCGCAGGCTACCGACTAGAAACGCACAACTCTTCATGGAGATGTCCTGGAAGGTTTCTTGTGCACGTGCAGGTACTGTCAGCTTTGAAGGAAGCTGATGCAGGGCTTTCTCTGCAACGCTGCCGTAGTGAGCATCGATCAGCCCCCTGACACTGAGAGCATGCAGCAAGGCATCTGCGCCAAAACTTGGGACCCCGGACCCCCCACCTTTGTCGGATTAATTCAGCAGAGATCTGGCCTTCCTGCATACGTTCTCGCTCGCACGTGCCCTTCCCAAACGTCTGGTCTGGTCTGCTTCTCTCCTGAATTATCTGGATCTGCTTCTCGGCCAGGATCTCCTTAACCTTTTTTCGCGCCTCCGCCTGAAAAAAAGACTGGAAGAGCCCAACTTCCCCAGCTGTCGCTGTCAATTCTGCTGGTCTGGGCCGCGGGCCGTGTTGGCGTGAGGTTTTAGCCTCAGACAGCGGCCGACCCATTGAGGGCCACCCATTGGAATTTAGTAAACTCAAATGCTCTTCCAGGGCCACAGCATCAGGAAGCCATGGTTCTCCTGCCTGGCCGGGCGTTCCACGGACTTCTTGGCATTGCGCCCGGCTAGAGACCACGGCGAGTCTCGTTGGGTGCGCTTCTGCCTCAGGAGACACGGTCAAGCAATCCTTGGTGCTGCGTACTCGAAATCGTACAAGTTAGCATCTGTCCAGACTTCTGCGTTGCTTTTGCGAAGATACCTTTTGGCTGAGTTCACAAATAATGTTCACTCCCTCAAAGAAAAAGCGCACGCCTTGAGGTTGCAATTTGTTTAAATGATCTTCCCATGAAGCACAGAAAGCAAAATTGCCATGTTGTGTTGTTACATTCCCAACACAGGCAGGACAACTGCTGAACTGACCCGGAGCAGCTTGAAAGACAATGTGCCAATGCAACGTAAGAATACTAGCAAGACCATGGTCCTCATGTCTAGGCCATTAGGGGGCTTCTGAAAACTAGGGTACCATTTTGGGGATAATAAGGATTCTAGCATTTTGAGGTATGTGTTAGGGTCCCCTCATTTTGGGAAACCCATTACTGCGCGTTCCTGACGTGCGGCCTTTGAAGAGCTGCAGCAGCCATGGAGACAAGTGAGCTAGCCACTTCTGCCTGGCTTGCTCATGTTATGCAAGCTCTACGGACACAAGCCGATGCTCAACATAGTAATGCTGGTAATAAAAATAATAGTAATAGTAGTACTAACAATCCTAAAAGTAGTAATAGTAGTTGTAAGACAAGTAATATTGTTTCTTTGTCCGGCCTGGAAACGTGGCGGTCGCAGCCTTGAACCGAGCAGTCTAATTGGAAACACCGATCCATGCAGTCAATGATAGCTGAGAAGCTGTGGCAGACAATATTCCTTGCGCCATCCATGCAATAGTGGATTGCTCGACCTGCCCAACTGGAAGCCGAGAAAAGGCGAAGCGAAAGAAAACCCGCGGCCTGACTCTGTGTCTTAACACAGGGGCAGCATGTACCTGAGTTTTTCCGTCAGCCATCTGCCACTTTGTGAACTGGAGACCAAACCTGCCTGCAGAAATGCAGGGCCATGCTTCAGGCCCATTGTCGCATCTCAAGGCAGTTTGAGCCAAGAAGCTAGCAGACTGCCAAAAAATCGCAACAAGCAGAAGGAACCGAATCCAGGACAACCAGATCGTGGCTGACACTCAGCCAAGCCATTCAGGCCAGCTCGGTTAACCTGTTTGTGCGTGCATGGATTTCATTTCATTCTGGTCAGATTCCCTTGCTGAGCAGCTCGTACACTGAAAGACTGGAAAGATCGTGCCTGCCCGCACCTGCTTGGCTATTGAAACCATTTAATTTTGATGCCTGCCCTGGCTCACGGAGGGCGTATTACATACCAGTTCTGTACGTTTCGCGCGCACATCCAAAGACAATTGCCAGATACAGGAGCCACCTCCAATCAGTTCTTCAAGTCGCGTACAGGTAAAAGCCTAAATGATCTTCTTCGGGTGGTTAACACGAATATGTCTCACACCTCAAGAAAGCTGTCAGTCACGAGCATTAACAACCGCCCACCGTCAACCTGAATGGATGCGGATTAGAATGACCAGAAAATTGGGGGGTGTTCTTATCAATGGGGGCCCATTTGGGGAGTCCCTGTGATAACGAGTCTAACGAGTCTAGTATTGGGGTCTATGTTTTGGCCGCTGTTTCTGGGAACCCTCATGTTGAGTTGCATTTTGTTGTATCTGTGGTTATTAAGGTCCCTAAGGACAAGCTTGAAACGCATTTCAGGCTTTCAGGAAAGTCACCGGGTGCTGCCATAATTTGTTGACGTCTACTTCCAGTCTACTGATCAGGTCCTATGCATCCGAGGTGCTGTGACAATCTCTTCATCAAGCGGGCAAACAGTTGGACCTTGGTCAAACGTCTGATGGATCGTACCATCAACCCCACAGGCACTGAAGAACCAAGCATGTTGGCATTTTCCATCATCTTCCTATATACTCTTGTTATTGTCCATATATCTCCCTTTAAGGAGTTTAGACCCTAAACCCTAAACCCTAAATAGTAGCTTCCATTTTCTTTTCCATTATCCCTATAATCCCTATATGGTAAGCTGGATTTGCGCTTGTGCAGCCAGCTTACCGCTGTAGAGCTCAAACTCGAAGCTGTCCGCCTTCGCGTCGCCTGCACAATAATGGGCTATATAGGGGATATACAGGGGTTATATTGGGGCCATATTGGGGTAATGGAAAAGAAAATGGAAACTACTACAGTGGGATATATATTGTCATGTCGGTCACGTCAAGAGCCTGAGAGCTGCAGGTTTTCTGGTGCCAAAGCCAACGAGCAAGGAGGTATAAAAACAAGAAGACAAGCTCACAACCTACAGCATAAGGGACACCCATATGCTCCGTGAAATGTCTATGCACCAGGAGCTCCTTATGCTACTCCCCAGCACCACGTGAGGATGTACACCTCCACATGTGAGTTTCTTTCTAATTCGGATCGATTCTTTGATTTAACGTAAAGGTAAGGGCAAAGAAATAAAGCACTTCGTTGAACGCAAATACTGTAGTGATTCCTCCTTTCTTCTGGGTACTCTGAGTAACCACCAAAAAAATGCTGAGCACTGCTCTTTCCATTACGATTCATCACCATGTTTATTGCTATTATTGTTATTCTTATTTCATTTCTATTATTAGTACTATCACTACTAGTATCATTGCTGTTGTTTTTGCTACTATTATTGTTAATATTTGCAGAGGTGTTATGGGAATCAGGCCTGCAGCTGGCAGGTGGCCAAACTCCAGCAGCCGGCCACTGTCATGCAGCGGCCCAGAACCCGACGCCACGTCCACTAAGACCCGGTATCGGCCGCGAACCAACCCCTTTCGCCTCAAAGGACGAATAAGGAACAAACTGGGCCTTTTGAACAACTGTAGCGTTTTGATCAAAAGGACTCAAACCCAGCTTCATGCTACAAAGCCTGAATCTTTGTAAAGAAAAGGACGATCCATCACACAAGGTGTGGAAATGCTCCACCACCCTAAGGCTACATAGCTCCTGCACTCCTGAGCTTTTCCGCAGATGAGGATCAGCATCTCATCGATCCACTTGCGCATGGGGTCATCTGTTGTCACCTACAGGCTGGTTTATGTGAGCTATAGTCTAAACTCCTAGTATCCCCCCTTAATAACCCCCATAGTACTCCCCTATATAATCCCCTATATATCCCCCTTTATGGAGTTTAGAATATAGTTCATGTGCAGCCTAATGACTTCATGAAATACTTGAAGCCTCGAGAAAGACCCTTGGAAAAAGACCCTGCAATGTGCTAGAATGACGCTCTGAGATCCACACAAATGCCAGGCCCTCTGCATCTTTTTGAGGCCGTATAGGAAAAGAGATGGAACCTTAGCACATCGCCACAGTCAAACAGCTCCCAAACATGTCTCAAACTGCAGAACCTCTATAGCAAGGCGCAGGGGAGGGTGCTGCTAAACCCTAAACCCTAAATAGCAGTTTCCATTTTGTTTTCCATTATCCCAATATATCCCCTATTTCTCCCATCAGTCCCCCCTTCTAAGCCCTGTAGCTGCAATTCTCAAGCAAGCAGCGGTCTCGCCGAAGGAAGGGCTTCAGCGTTGCCTCCAGTGAAGGCGCCGGATGAGCCTTTTCCGCCGCGAAGCCCGGCGGCTTCAGCGCCACACACCATCCTGGGTTGCTGCTAAGGAACTCAAAGGAACTTACTCAAGTTACCATACTGGGTATATATATATATACATATCTAGCTATTTTGGGGAAGGCATATCATTTACTATATTCATATATATATATATATGCCCATTTTTGTGCTAGTAACTTGATTTAAGTTCCTTAACAGCAACCCAGCATCGTTGCCGCAGCGAACCGAGCCTTTGGCGAACTCAGAACTCTCCAAGACTGATCGACTATAGTGGTTTTCCATTTTATTCCATCCCCATTATCCCCAATATACTCTATAGTAGTTTAACATGACTCCTTCCTTGTTCCATGCACAGGACAGTCGCGATGCCATGAGTGGCTTGGACCAGTGCCAAGGAGCACAATCGGAACATGCAATCGGCAGTATGCCATCGCAGGTCATGATTCAGGCTTTTAGATTTGGCCCAGATTTGCCAGTCTCCAGCCGTCTAAGCAACTGCAGGCCACTCAGGAATCCAGGGCTGTTGACTGCAAATGCGAAAGTCGAGTTTAAGAGCTACTGCGTGCAACTTGAGCCGGGATGAAGAGCATGACACCCATCCTGCTGCCTACTTGAAAGTTCCTACAGCAATTCTCAGGCTTATGCTGCATGCTTGTGGTCGGCAACCTTTGCTAACATACCGAACTCTGGACCAATCTGGCCAAGTTTAGTACTGAATCTTGGCTGTGAGCCCATAAGCAGCTACGGAAAGTAAATAAAACACGAGCACACCGACGCTCATCAAGTTCCTCGTGCTATTGGCCGCCATCACTGGCAC